AAAATTTTGCCACCAAACATTTTATTCCAAAATATGAGAAAAGATAAACAGATTTACCTATGTAAAAATTCAAGATATTCATAGAGCATAAGAAACGTAAATTGCTAACTGGGGGAAATGTTTGCAATATGTATGATAAGTAAAGTGCTCAAAGCCCCTGCAAAGAAAGATCTTGTAATAAGTTTTAAAAAATGATTAAAGACAATTTTGGTGATACAAACTTTAGCACTTTATGAAGTAGAATAAAATGGGGTGGAAGGCAGGAAGCTTTTATAGGGTAAAGAATAAAGAACAAGGAAGAGAAAAATAGAAAATATCTGATTGGCTGGGGTGACCTAGTCAACCTTGTTTAGAGTAAGAAGAAACTAAGTAGAGAGCCCAGAGCTGGCTTGGTGTTTGGGGATTGGCTGACTGGATATACTGTGTTTCTGGTCGCACAGAGCATTACAGGGACACAAAAATTATCTAGGTGTTGGTTTGCTGACATGGCACCCTACACAGTAGCAGCCCTATCTTGGGTCTAGAAAGTTACTTCAACATATAGAAGACAGCCAGACAAAAAGAGTGCACAAAAAGTTTAATTCCAGTGACTGATCAATTTGTGGAAAGGTGTTTTAACAGCCCTACTAGTAATCAAACAAATGGTGTAGGGGAGACACTCTTCCCCTTTTAAATTGGGAGATATTTCAAGATCACAAGCATAGGAAAACACACATTTTTGAGCACTATTAATGAGTATAATTTGGAATAACTATTCCAGAACAGTATAGAATATATAAAGATTTAAAATTTGCATACTCTTTGAAACCAGTTTATTCTAGGATTTACTCCTATGGAAATACTTGCACATCTGTGCAAAGATCCGTGTATAATGTCGTGTAGGAAGTTTTCCTGATGCAATGGTAATCTCCAAATACACTACCAGACAGACTATCCCAGATGTCATGGACAGCAAATCCTTACAGCCCAAATTAAGATGCTCAAATCCAATGGTTTACTGAATCACTTTTAAACAGAAGTCAATTGGAAAGTATAGTGAAGGTTAAGACATTTAGGATAGGGTGCCAGGGAGGTGAAGGACCACATTACCAGAATCCTGGGGTATGCAGTGTTGTTGTCCTGTCTGCTGCAGCAGCCTTGACTTCTGAACGTGCAGGGTTTTGTTCTGTTTTGTTTTTTGCGGTACGCGGGCCTCTCACTGTTGTAGCCTCTCCTGTTGCGGAGCACAGGCTCCGGACGCGCAGGCTCAGCGGCCATGGCTCACGGGCCCAGCCACCCCGCAGCATGTGGGATCCTCCCGGACCGGGGCACGAACCCGTGTCCCCTGCATTGGCAGGCGGACTCTCAACCACTGCGCCACTAGGGAAGTACTGAACGTTCAGTTTTGAGAACCACAGTTGAAATTGAAAGAGGGGCTCAGCAGGTGGAGGATGCCTAGAGTCAGTACGTGCTTGCTCTGTTAGAAATGTGCAAAGGCACGTATGCCTGGATAACGGCCTGCTGAGAGCCATGTTTTTTATCTGTGTTTCTGGGGCAGGACATTCACGGGGCCAGAATGAGTGTCAACAACAAATGACATTTTAGGGATGATACAGCTGTCAGCCTGAAGGTGGCATTATCTTTACCTTACATCTTTGGTCTTTCCATCTTTTTCCACCTATTAGTAATACTCTTGTTCATTCCCTCCTTTTTACATATATTCCATTCTGTCTTTATCCTGTCTTACAGTATACTCTGTACTTAACACATTTTAAGAATTCTATCCAACATAAGTTTCATATATCCTTTTTGGTTTTCCTGTCCTTTAGAACAGAATTGAATATTCTCATAATACAGCAAACATTATAAACATATATGAAGCATTTTGCTTAAAATATAAAAAAATAAAAGAATTGTTCAATAATAGGTGGGGTAAATATGTTGTATATAATGGAATACTGGCTGTTTAAAATGGGAATGTAGATTGTTATTGGCAAAAGGAAAATAAGATTGAGTGAATAGGGTTCAAAAACATTATTACAGTATCTCATTTATTTTAAAATACATATATGTACTTAACATTTTCTAGGTGTTTTCAGAGAGATGTCTAGAAGAATCTTCAAAATATTAACAGCAATTTTCTTTGAGTGTGGGACTTGGGGTGATTTTTGCTTTCTTCTTATACCCATTTTTTGTATTATTACAGGTGAGATTGAGGAGAGGGGTAACTAAAAGAAGCTTATATGTTTATAATCTAAAGAAAAAACAAATTGATTGTAATTTTAAAAAGTTTCGGATTGCCAGCACTGTGCTCTGGGAAGAACAGCCTTTGAAGTTGGATAGACTCAGATCCATTTACTAGCTGTGTAAAATTGGGTGTTTAGCCTCCCTTAGCTTCAATTTTCTAGTCTGTAGAATGAGAATAATAAGTGCCTTAGTGGGGGTGAGAACATGTGCAAAGAGCATGGCATAATTCCAAGACCACATTAGTGGGCTAATAAATGCCCTGTATTAGACAAAGCACATAGTCCTCTCCTGCCCTCTATTTCATTCCTGATAGTGTGAAAAGACCTACTAGTCATGGTGCTAGAAAACCCCAGCAAACTGCAAAGGACTCTTTGCAAGACAGGCCAGCTTGTGGTACCTTGATTATAGTAACTGCAGTCCAGCAAAGCCTGATAAGGGAATCTGCTTTCCCCACTGTCTGCCACTATAAAGTTGCAAGTATAATATATCCAACTGGAAAATGTTTTGGCCCCCAGACTTAATAAGATCATAATTAAATAACTAAAACTTGGAGTTAGAAAGCAGTATTACTGAACTTTAGTGTGTATAAGATCATCAAGAGCAGTGGTTCTCAATCCTGTTCACACCCAATATCACCTTTTCAATGTTCATGGTATTATCTTGAAATTCATAATTTTTTAAATTAGTAAACATTTTAAAACTCAGTATAATTTCTTGACAGTAATAGAAAGGAGAAATAAAAGGAAAGCAATTATAATTAAATCATTTCAGTATGGAAATGCTCTGGCTTGATTAACTTTATGACATAATGTAGTACTCAGGCGCTTGCACATATTGGCAGACTCACCATGAACGTGGCAGTTACAATACAAGTGTGTTGTATCAGCAACCAAATATGAGCCACAAAGCCACTGATGATGTGATTTTCCACAGAGGAGAACAACTTTTGATAACGTTCTGAATCAAAAAGGCTAATTTTCTTCTAGTTTACAAAGTGGTTGAATTCCTGAAAATGTATTATATATTAAGACCCTGCAGAAAATACTCTAAATTTGGAATTAAGTAGGACGCTCGTTTAAAATGTGGATTCTGGATCCTCACCTCCAGAGATTTTGACTCATGGAATCTAAGATAGGACCAAGAGTCTACATCAACATCCTGGCAGTGATTCTGATTCAGGCATTCTGTTTTCTAATTGAATTGGGGGAGGGGGTAGTTGTCCTGGAGAGGGAACCTAAGAGGATAAACTAGGAACCAAAACCCAGGTTGGCTATGCCTATGAAGTATAATGTATTGGGGTGAAAGTAAGGAATTTAGAATAGGAATATCTCTGTTTCAGACACAACTCTGCTACTTGTAATTGCCTTGCTTGGTACAAGTTTTCTGTATTTCCTCATCTATAAAAATGGGTAGTGTGGAGGGATGGGATCGTGGTTTCTGAGACCCCTTGAGGTTTGCTTGTTTTTTTTTCAAGATTATTAAAACTTCTGATATAAAGCAGTTTGTAAAATGAAATATATTAACCATGCAAATTGCTTATTATTTTGATGCTGTTTTCACACTTTAGGAAATTCTGATCAGGATGTTGTCACTTTCCCCAAAGCCCACTGTTTGAAACCAGAAAAAGCAAGTCACAAAGAAATTTGGCCCGCTAACCCCTCCACTCACCAAACAAACGAAAACCACACAAGCTCGTAATCCAAAGACTTGACAGGATTCTGGCTCCGGGTGGCCGGTGGCCAGGTGTGTGGTTGAGTCGCTTCACTTTCCCTGGGATCGGTTTGCTCAGACTTTCAGCTCCATTTGTTACTCACCTACTCCTTCATTCCTCTTTGCTTCCTCCTTTCCCACACCTGTCACCATCCTTTCTACCCCTGTCTTTGACTTTTTTCTCTGCTTTCTTACACTACACATTCCCTCACTACGTACTCTGCGCTTTCTCGTCCCAGATTTCGGTCACCAGCTCCTCGGCAGCCCTTTTGGCTTCTTCCCTTTGGTAATCTCCTGCAATTCTCCCGCAACGTCCGGGGTCCTTCTTAAAATGGGGGAAGGGGGGCTCCCACCCTCAGCCCAGGCAGGGGCCCAAAATGTATGCCCGGGTCCCCGCACCTCCTTGCGTCCCCGCGACTCGCTTTCCCCTCCCCCCCCCCCCCCCGGGCCCCCCGCCCCCCCCCCCTCAGCCCTCAGCGCCCAGCTCCGAGGCTCCGGAGTCGCTGGCTGAGTGCACCCGTCAAGGTGCCCGGTCTCTCGCCATCCATTCGCCAGCAGCACGTCGCCAGGGTCCCTTCCTCACACCAAACGCCCCAGCTGCCCGAGGCTGAGGCCGGCTCTTCTTTCTCCTTGGCCTGGGATGCCCACCACGGGCGGGGTCCGTCGCCACTGAGTCCGGAGCCCGGCGCCACCCACGTATCCCAGAGCGCCGCGCCTGGCCGGCGCAAACCTCTCCAAGGCCACTGGCTTCTCGTCGCTGAAGCTGATTGCAGGCGAAACCCGCACGGGCCCGGGAGCTGCGCGCGGGTCACGAGCGGCACGTGCGGTTTCTCGGCGCTTCGCCGCAGGGTGCGGGTGCCCGCAGAGCCAGCAAGCGAGCGAGGGCCGGAGGAGGAAGGGTGGGCGCGCGGGAGCCACGCGGTGGCGCGGACGGCGGGACTGCAGTGCCACCTCTCCCGAGAAAGCCCACACACTCACACGCCCGCGCGCGCAAGCACCTGCACACCGTGGGCATCGAGAAGCCGAGCCATCGAGAGGCTTTGAGTGCCTGACGCGTTTCAGCGATGGCTTCTGCCCTCAACAGCAAAATTCACGCTCCCGGGACTTGCCCGGGCTCCAAAGCCGATGCCGGAGGTGGCGCCGACTGGAGAATGGACTGTGATCCCGAGATGCACGTGAAAATGTGCAAGAAGATCGCCCAGCTCACCAAGGTAACGTGAGGCGCTGCAGGTCGGCCAGCTGCGCGTCCGGGGCGCCCCGGGCCGGGGAGGGAGTGCGGACGCGCCCGAGGGAGGCCCAGGCAGAATCCGAGCTGAAACTTTGCCTCGGAGGCCAACCCGGAAGGGAAGCGGTCCTAAATCTTGGTGACCTTCTGGAGACACCATCCTAAAGCAGCTGAGAGAAAGGATCCTTGCCAAGGAAACTCCTACAACCTCCACGCTGAGCAGGTGGTCTGTGCTCCCAGGGTGGGAATGTGAATCGAGTTGAATCAGTGCTGTGGGGTGTGTGTGTGTGTGTGTGTGTGTGTGTGTGTGTGTGTGTGTGTGTG